ATAGATATAGATACAGAAATACAGATACAGATACAGATACAGATACAGATACAGATACAGATACAGATACAGATACAGATACAGATACATAGATAGAGATACATAGATAGAGATAGAGATAGAGATAGAGATAGAGATAGAGATAGAGATACAGATACAGATACAGATACATAGATATAGATATAGATATACAGATACAGATACAGATACAGATACAGATACAGATACAGATACATAGATATAGATATAGATATACAGATACAGATACAGATACAGATACAGATATAGATATAGATATAGATATAGATATAGATATAGATATAGATATATAAGCATAGATAAATATCTACTCTTAGTCTCCCACTTTAATCAGTGGACCACACTGATACTCATTCTTATTTATCCTCTCTTTCTCTGACTTGCTCTCCCTTCCCCACCCTTCCATACATAATTTCCTTGATTATTATATTTGATCATCTATATTGCGGATTCAGGCTCGCAAAATTGCTTTCATTTTATAAAGGATCTCTTTTATTATTTTTAGTGTTTATCATTTATCAATGGTTAATGGATAATGAATTACGCTGCAAAGAAGTTTATAATACTGCAGAGAGTTGGATCCTTTTGTCACTTGCCAATAGGATTCTGTTCACCTGTGTATAACGGATTACTTGAGATGTACACAGGATTGAACGAATCCTATTCTAAATCAAATAAATGTCATCTATCACACAGACACTCTCTGCCCAGGTTTAACCCTTGAGAAACTTCAAAAGTTAAAACTTTAATTTTTATTTTTATTTTTTAGAAACAGAAACTACGCAATCAATAGATATCCGGTCGGCATTCAAAAGAAGGTAATTTTAAGTGATCTTGGAAACTTCTTTAGTAATAGGTATTGGAAACATCGCACAAGTTACACTATTTTTGAACACCCTTTGCTGGAAGTAGATTCAAAACAAGGCTAAAATGAGGGGCTACTCTGATTGTCCCCTACAAACCCTTTCCAGGGGTGGGATTGAAAAAATTTAGCAACTGGTTCTCTGCCCGGTTGCTGGGTGGGTGTGGCCATGGGGGCATAGCCTACTTAGCCTCCTGCACCACAGTGGGGGGGCTTTCACCCTCCCCAGGCTCTGGAGGCTTTCTTCAAGCCTCCGGGAGGGCAAAACCAGCCTCCCCTGGGCTCCAGAGGCCCTCCAGAGGCTGGAAACAGGCCCCTTCCAGACTTCCGGAACTTCCTGCACTTACCTGGCATGATGAACAGGCTGCGTAGAGACTCCTGGGAGGGGCAGGGTGGGTGGGTCAGCCAGTCCTTCCAACTACCGATTTGGCAAACCAGATGCAAAATTATCATACGGTTCGCCCGAACCAATCCAAACCACCTGAATCCCACCCCTGCCTTTACCTGACCTTTTTGTTCCAAAATTGGTCACCTTAGCTGTAGGTAGAAAACACTCCTTCTCTGTTGCTAATGCTAGCAGAGATTAGATTAGATTAGATTAGATTGTTTATTTGTATGCCGCCCTTTTCCCTGAGGGGACTCAGGGCGGCTCACAATCCAAAGGAAGGGGGGGAAAACAGACTTTTACATATAAGACAGTACATGATTAAAACGCAACATTCATACCATTCGGGCGGGTTACAATCTTTAGCCCCAGGCCTGACGGGATAGCCAGATTCTAAGGGCTGTGCGGAAGGTCTGGAGGGTGGTGAGGGTACGAAGCTCCACGGGGAGATCGTTCCATTGGGTCGGGGCTACCACCGAGAAGGCTCTCCTCCAGACACCATCTGGAGCAGGAAAAGTGGAAAGAAGAATTAAAGTCCCCTTCTCTACAACCTCCAGGAACTCTGCACAAATCCTCTGTTGCAATTTTGCAGCAGGAATGCTGCTGTGAGGAAGGAAGATGAGGAAGAAGTTTGTAATTATGGGCATGTGTGTTTGTCTGGAGATTTGCTTTTTGTCTGAGAAATGGGAAAGGCTCCAACATCCTAAGCAACTTCCAGTTCTTCACGAAGCAATTGAAAAAACATAAACTATAAGCTCAGACACTTGTCAATCAGAAAGTTTGGCAGTTCAGCGGTTCGAATCCCTAGCGCCGTGTAATGAAGGGAGCTCCTGTTACTTATCTCAACTTCTGCCAATCTAGCAGTTCGAAAGTATGTAAAATGCAAGTAGGAAAATAGGAATCACATTTGGTGGGATGGTAACAGCATTCCATGCGCCATCGGCGTTTAGTCATGCCAGCATATGATCACGGAGATGTCTTCTGACAGCGCTGGCTCTTCAGCTTTGAAGCGGATATGGGCACCACCCTCTAGAGTCAGGAACAACTAGCACATACGTGTGAGGGGAATCTTTACTTTTGTAAGATCAGATCACACAGCATGTGTGGTAATATGTCAAAGGTTCAAATGTTACTAGTACCTTCTGTAATTATCTGATTGTGAGTTCCACAACGTTTATCAATTTAGGGTGAGAAATTTAGGGGATCTGCTCCAGATATAGAAAAGCCCTGTAATCCCCTTTCCTTTGATGTATTTCACTTCATTCAGTGGCCTCCCATGAGGCCAGATATTTACACAGATTGCTACTAAGTCAAGAAGGCAAGGAGAACTAATTCTTTCTGCCAACTAATTTGATATGGTCTCCTTTGACCAGTCTTACCTACATGGACTGATCACTTTGACATATTAAATGAAAAGGAACTGGCAACAAAAGTGTAAATCAGTTGTGGGGCTTACATTTCCTTACACCTTCACTTAAGAAGCAGTTGTGAGAAGATCCCAACCAGCTGTTACCAGTTAGAACAGACTGGGAGATTTAACCTTACAGACAGCTTAACTAAATGTAAAGTAAAAAAAAAAACCAATTAAAGCTGTGATTTGTGAAATGACCTTTTATGGTTTAAGACCACTTAGATGCACCACATATAGGGCACCACATGTCTCAGAATTATTCAGACTTAATAGCTTTTTAAAAATCAGTTGTCATAAAGAAGACCTTTTTATTTATTATTTTTATATATAAACTCACATTAAACCCAACATATAACTACAGATGAGGAGGAATAGAGCAGAAATGGGGAGAAAGGGAGAACTAAATACTAGGAATATTTGAACAAATTAATCTTTCTTTAAAACTCCTGATTACATTTTTTATATACTATTTTACAATTTTTCAAAATATTGTTACTTTTGGACCCTTTTCCCCCTTCCGTTCAGTCATGTCTGATTCTTGGAAACTGAATCCCTGCACTTTTCATAGGCAGGTTTTTCACAAGTTATTGGCCCTTGCCTCTTTCTTGGGGCTGAGAGAAAGTTGCTGGCCCAAGGTCATCCAGTTGGCTTTGTGCCTAAGGCAGGCTAGAACTCACAACCTTCTGGTTTCTAGCCTCATGACTTTACCACTATTCCATACTGGCTCTCAGATATTCGACTATGAGTCTCTTGTTATTAAATACATTTGAGCAGCTGAATCCTTTGTTGACTACAACTACATTCTGTCCAACTCCCAGCTTCTCCACTCAATCAGAAGGAAACCAGTAATGGTTTTCCCTTACCTTCGCTACCAGTTCAGAATTGGGAGTGTGCGCACTCTTGCTTCTCTCACACGTGGACCTTCTGCACATGAGCATAACGTCTGAGTGGGTGGGCAGAGCCTCCCGCTGCCACTGCCAGTTCACCCAAACTGTCGCGAACCGGCAGAATTCCACCTCTTGACTCATACATCTTCAGATATTCAAGCATTTGATTCTGCATGAACTTGAAGCTTCTCTTCTGGCCAATATTCAGGTTCTAAGACAAGAATCGTAAAGATCTGATAAGATGACTTTGGGGGAAATATTCTGAAACCATTTCAAAAACAAAAAGTTTAGATGCAGGCCTAGAAAGAGAAAGTTATGCATCAAGAAGAGACTCAGCCTAGCTCCCCCCTGACCCCTTGTGATATAAGAGGGAGGGAAGTGAAAACACAATCAGACTTGTATACATTCTTTGAACATAGCCTGTCTCAAGAAAGCATAGTTCTAGTTCTCTCGTGGAAACTGTTTTCTGATCTAGACAATCTCAAAGGACTGATTGGCATTCATTTTTAACAGGGCAATACAATTGCAAAAGAATTAAAAAGAGCTTTTACACCCAGCCAAAAAAAATGATTAATGGCATCCTCAACACCATATTAACTTTTCCTAATATTTTTTTTAATTAAGCAGAAATATAAAATTCTGTTTCAGGAAAGTACAAATTGTGATGTCAATTTTTTTTAAAAGAAGACATGCCTATTCAATTTCATTTGTTCTCCATCTAGTAGGTTTGATGTTGGAATTGATGGGGTGGAAAAGAAATAAACAGATAAATGCAGGTTGCATGTACATTAGTGCAAAGGAATAGAAAGTTTTAGCTGTGTGATTGATTGATTGATTATATGCCATCAAATCAGTGTTGACTTTTAGCAACCACATAAATACATTTTCTCCTTGACAATTTGTCACTAACCTGGTCTTTCAGATCTTCCAATGATGTCCCCATTGCTGCTGCTATTGAGCCCACCCACTTTATCATTGGTTTTCCTTTTCCTTTCACATTCCCAACATTACAGCCGTGTCCAGAGAGCTAAGTCTTCATGTGACGTAGAATAGCCTGATCATTTGTGTCTGAAGTGAGAACTTTGGGTTGATATATTTGTTTGTTTGTTTTTGGATTGTCCATGGTATTCAAAAGTGTCAACACTTTTTCTATGCCCCTTCTTCAAAGTTCAACTTCAATTTCCATAGAAGGTCACTGCGAATACCACTGCCTGCATTATTCCAGTACCAGCCTGTGTTTATTTCTTGACTACTTATTCTTTCACTGTTGATGTTTGATCCTAAAAGTTGAAGCTATCTCCCACTTCAACATCTTCTCTGTCAATTCTAAGAATGGCTGTTGTACCTGGTGTCATTAGTTGGATTTTCTTTAAATGTAATTAGTAAGTTTTCACAGTGATTTTTATTGTTAGATCTTGCCAATCCTTTGCATTTTCAGCTATCTGAGTCGTGACATTAGTAAAATGCAGATTATTGATGTTTCTTCCTCCAGTTTTAAAACCACACTCAACTTTTTCCAATCCAGCTTGATAAAAATATTTTTTTCAACCTATACATTGAATATATATATAGTAAAATATATTGTAAAATATATATATATATATATATATATATATATATATATATATATATA